TGGAGGCCCAGGGGACAGACGCAGGCTGGGCAGGTGGGAGGTTGTTGGGTCCGGGGTGGGGTCTGTGGGGAGGACAGACTGACCGAGGGCCGGGGGGAGAGACTTTCTGGGTCCTCCCCGACACTTAGCCAGGCCTGCGGGGAGGTGGGAGGGGCTCCCCAGCACCTGTACGTGACCCCCAGGCCCTCTGGTGACGCACCCCTGAGGGCCGTGGGCAGAACTGCTTCACCGGGGACCTTCCCTGGTTCCCCTCCCTGCCCTGGGACCAAGGTGGAGTTTCCATTTGTAAAAGTATCCACCCCCCGTTTGCCTGCCTTAAATCACACCCCGTCAAGATTCCAGTTACGAAAGGTGACATCGTTTCCCAAAAGAGTGGGCTTTGTCTCCCTGACTCCTCTCTGATAGGCACATGGCGCGGGAGCCCCCGGCTGCTTAGCGCGGGACTGGCGGGTGCCTGCGCGTGTGCGGGAACCGGTGGTTCCTCTACGCCTGCGGCAGCCAATCGGGAAACGCAGTGGAAAAAACAAGCCCCTTCCCACTGGCCGTGCCAAGGGCAGCCGGGGAGGCAATTAGCAAGAGGGGGCGTCCCCGCGGGAAGCTGGGCTCTGCCTGCCCACCCTGCTGCACCTGTGGCTCATGTGTCTCCCGTGCGTCCTCGCGGGCCCAGCTCGCTCTCGCACTCCCCCTCAGAGACCCTCCAAGCACCCCGCCTGGGTCTGTTCGTCCTTCTCTCCCTGACCCCGACTCACTGCTTCCGAGCGCTGCCACTCTGGTGGAGGGTCAGTGTGTCTGTTGCGTTCGTAGTCTGCCCTCTCAGCTAGGAGGGAAGACCTGCTCTTGTGTGTTTCTGGGGCTTCTGTATCCCCAGACTCTAGAACAGAGCTTGGCATCTACTAAGTGCTAAGAAGGAATTTCGGAACGATGCGGTGAACGAATGGGGTGGGTGAAACCCTGCCACACTGTCTCGCCGGTCACAGTCGGGAGGGCCGATTTATTCCGGGCGCAGCAGGGAACATGGAGGTTACTCTAGGGCATGGGGACTCACCGAGGGTGCTGGAGTGAGGGGGTGGCTCCTGCGGCTGCCTGAGCCCCTTCTCTCCTCCCCCAGGTCCACCTCCACCTCCTCACCCGTTCGCCCGGCCGCCACATTCCCACCCGCCACCCACTGCCCGCTGGGCAGCACCCTGGACGGGGTCTACCCTACGCTCATGGAGCCCGTCTTGCTGCCCAAGGAGGCCCCCCGGGTCGCCCGGCCCGAGCGGCCCCGTGCGGACACCAGCCACGCCTTCCTCGCCAAGCCCCCGGCCCGCTCCGGGCTGGAGCCCGCCTCCTCCCCCAGCAAGGGCTCCGAGCCCCGGCCCCTCGCGCCCCCCGGCTCCAGCCACACAGCCATCGCCCGCGCCCCGGCGAAGAGCCTCGCACCCCGCCACGCCAGCCCGGACCAGCCAGCGCCGCCCGCCTCGGCCTCCGATCCGCACCGGGAAAAGACTCAAAGTAAACCCTTTTCCATCCAGGAGTTGGAACTCCGTTCTCTGGGTAAGACCACCCTGACAGCAGCCACCTTCATAGACGCGATAATCATGCGTCAAATCGCTCACGATAAAGGGGCGCGAGAAGGCGGCTCGCTGGCCAACGGCTCCCCTCGAGATGGTAAGACCCCCGGCCCGCCGCCCGCCCACCCCGTCTGTGGCCTAAAGATATTTTCAGATCTCTGCTTTTTATTTTTCCTCGTTTTTTTTTTTTTGTCGTTGTTGGTTTTGGCATTTCGTTTGGAAACCGTCTGCGTCAATTCGCACGCTCTGATGACCCTCCGGCCGCCGCCGCGCCCTCAGGGGCAGCTCATCCTTTGCTCACCGTTGGTCATGATTTTCTTTTTCTTTTTTCTTTTTTTTTTTTTTTTTTTTTCTGTTTTTGGATTTTCGCTTTTTTCCCTTTAATGAATGGGTCTGTGACTTTGACTTCAACTGCATCTCCCCCTGTGCCTGCGTTTGGGGAGCCGGGAGCGGGGCTGCGGCGGGCTCGGGCCGCCACGTCTGCCAGGGCGCGGGGACGGTCTCAGACGAGACAGGCGGTGCAGGGAGGGCCCTGCCCTGACCCGGAGCAGCCGGGGGCTCCCACTCTGGCATCCGCCCTCGTCACGGGGGAGTCTTGGGGATCCCCAGCCCCGCGTACCCCGGGGAGCCCTCCGTGTCCACCCGCTGCCACGGCCCCACTCACAGCTCCTCTCTGTGGGACCGGGGCTTGTGGGGGCTGCGGCCCAGGCCAGGCTCCGGGGACCTCGGGTCCCTCCCAGCCACGAGTGCCCCCTCCTTCCCCAGAAACTCCCCTCACTCAGCCTCACGGCCTGAGTCCGTCTCTGTCCCTTTTCCCCTCTGGCTCTCAGCGTCCATCTCTCTCTGCATCCCACTCTCTCTGGGGGCCCACACCCGGCCCCCAGCTTGGGTTAATCTGATCCTGTGGGGACCTGGGCGGGGCAGCAGGCAGGGTGGGGGCGGCTCTGCCTCTGGGACCCAGAGCCCACCTGCCTGATCCGGGCCTGGCTGTTGCAGGTTACCATGGCAGCAGCTACAGCCCCGACGGGGTGGAGCCCATCAGCCCTGTGAGCTCGCCCAGCCTCACCCACGACAAGGGGCTCCCCAAGCACCTCGAGGAGCTCGACAAGAGCCACGCGGAGGCGGAGCTGCGGCCCAAGCAGCCAGGTACCTCCCCGCCTGCCCCAGCACCCCCGACAAGGACAGTCGCTGTCCCGCCACTCGGACGGGGAAACCGAGGTGCCTAGGGGTGAGGCGTCGGCCCCGGCCCAGCAGACACCTCTCGCCCACCCGACGCCCTGACCGGCTCTGCTCCGCCCACAGGCCCCGTGAAGCTGGGCGGTGAGGCCACACACCTCCCAAACCTGCGGACGCTGCCCGAGAGCCAGCCCTCGTCCAGCCCGCTGCTGCAGACTGCCCCGGGGGTCAAAGGTCACCAGCGGGTGGTCACCCTGGCACAGCACATCAGTGTAACTACCCGCCCTCTGCTCCCTCCTCGTCACGGGCCCAGGGAGGGGGGAGGTCCCGTGCAGCCCCTCGGTCCTGGCAGGGTGGCCAGGAGTGGGGGAGATCCCAGCATCCGGCCCATCTCGTCCCGCCGGTGGGGCCTGGGGGCGCACCTACGACCCACACCTGCAAGGGCCCCGGGACGTTGTTGTGTCTTAAAGTCTTCGAAGACCCCAGACGGTCACATCCTACTCAGCTGGGGGCTCCAGGCGCCGACCCTTCCGCGCACGGGTCCAGGGAGGCCCAGAGGGGTGTAGGCAGGTCCAGAGTCTCCCAGGAAGCCCAGAACAGAGCCAGGGTTCTGCCCCAGAGCCCAGTCCAGCCTCCCCGCCCCACGTAGAAGGTTCGGGCAGGGTGGCTGCCATCCGACCCCGCGCCTCCCCACCTCGGCCCGCAGGAGGTCATCACGCAAGACTACACACGGCACCACCCGCAGCAGCTGCCCGCGCCCCTCCCCGCCCCCCTCTACTCCTTCCCCGGGGCCAGCTGCCCCGTCCTGGACCTCCGCCGCCCGCCCAGCGAGCTCTACCTCCCACCCCCAGCCCGCGGCTCCCCCCACAGCGAAGGGGGCAAGAGGTGAGCGAGGGCCGGCGCGCCTCTTGCCGGTCAGCCTGGGGAGGACGTCGTCACATGCCTGCCTCAGGGTGGGGGCCGGGCCGGGCCACACGCAAGGCCAGCCTAGAGCCACCACACAGACAAGAAACTGAGGCTCGGAGGGGTGGGGAGTTTGCCCAAGTCACGCTTGGAGGGTTCCAGGCACCATGTGAACACCTACATGTGTTAGCTCACTGGGCTCTCACAGCCACCCAGGCATGGGCAGCACTGTCCCCATTTCACAGATAGAGACACTGAGGCTGGAGAAGTATATTCACTTGCCCACAAGGACACAGGCAGTCAGTGGCAGGGCTGGGATTCGAACCCCAGCTATGTGGTTTGGAGAGGAGGCTTTCAACACATGCACACGCGTGCACACACACGCCCATACTCACGCACACGCCCACCCTGCTCAACCCCGGGGCCACAGGGGGCTCAGGAGAGGCGGTGGGGAGGGCCCTGAGCCCTGGGGTGGAGGCACCTTTCCAGCAGGGGGCTCACACGTGAGGCTGGATGTGAGGAGACAGCGCGATGTCTGTGGGGGACGGGGTACCTGGCGTGGGGGTCAACGAACCGCCAGTTTTTGTACAGTTCACGAGCTAAAGGTGATTTTCGTTTTTAAAGGGGTGTAAAAAGAAAAGGAATGCGTGGCAGAGACTACGTGTGGTCTGAAATGTTCACGATTTGTCCACGGATGGGGGGAAGCCGGGCCGGGTGGTGGGGGTGGGATGTCTCCTCGGGAGGGAGCCTCTGACCGCAGCCAGGACCCTCTCTCTGTCCAGGTCTCCAGAGCCAAGCAAGACGTCGGTCCTGGCTGGGGGCGAGGACGGTATTGAACCCGTGTCCCCGCCGGAGGGCATGACAGAGCCCGGCCACCCCCGGAGTGCCGTGTACCCGCTGCTGTACCGGGACGGGGAGCAGACAGAGCCCAGGTACTTGGCTGGCGCACGCGCCCTGCCCCTGGGGTGCTCTGGCCTGGGCCACCGCTGTGCCGTGTGGAGGGTGCCCAGGGCTGTGGGGCTCGGCTGGGCGGTCTCTTCCTGCTAAGCAAACTTCACAGACTTGGGGGGTGAGCAATGCACCCCAACCCTCACCAGGGGACACCTCCTTGGCAGCCTTCCGTGCCATGGCCTGGGATCTCCACTCAGGCCAGGCCCCCGTCCTGGCACCTGTTGAAGATCTAAGAAACGACACGTTAAATGTGGGACCCAACCAGGGCCAGGGCTGAGGTGGGGGCAGGGAAGAGGCTGGGCCGCTGGCCGTGGTGGGGCACGATCCGAAACCACTTTCAGTTCCTGAGGCTCTTTCCGAGAGTCGGGCTAGAGTAGGTGCTTAGAGGTGGCCCACCACAGCGGCGGGGAGGGGGGTGCTCCTGAGACCCCCTGTGTCCGGGATCAGTGACGATTTCAGGAGATACGGCCTCCTGCCAGGCAGGAGAGGCAGGGGAAGCTTGCTGGGGGGTGAGCTCCCTGTTATCCGAGGCGTGCAAGCACCACGCTGCATGGGCTGACCCGGGGGTCTGCTCCTCACAGCAGGATGGGCTCCAAGTCTCCTGGCAACACCGGCCAGCCGCCAGCCTTTTTCAGTAAGCTGACAGAGAGCAACTCGGCTATGGTCAAGTCCAAGAAGCAGGAGATCAACAAGAAGCTGAACACCCACAACCGGAACGAGCCGGAATACAGTAAGGGGCCGCCGACCCCTGGGAGGCACAGGGCCACCGACCCCTGGGAGGCACGTGGCGGGGCCTCCGGGCAGCAGAGACCCGCAGGGCACCTTCCAAAGCTAAGCGACCCTGCCCCGGCCCTGGCCCTCCACCCCATGTGCAAGGGACCGTCTCTTGATTTGCCTGTCTCTCTGCGGTTGAATATGGCACCTAGAATAGCGCCCAGCACACAGTAGGCGCCCAGTGAATACTTGCGTGAATACTGGGCGCCAGAGACTGGGTCGCCCCATCAGCACCCGCTGCCTGTGCGGTTTCGCCCCGTGTGTGTGGTTGCTGGGCGTGAACCCCCAGCCTTGCTCCCCTGACCTCAGCGCGGCGCCCGCACAGCTCCGGGGCGAGTGAGTGGAGAATCTGTCGTGGCCCCAGCCTGGAGAAGCCTCAGCCATCGGGGGAGCGTAGGCAGATCCCGGGGGCGTCTCCCCTCTGGGCCTGCAGTAGAGACCTTGCACAGGGTCGCTGGGCCAGGCCGGTAGCTCCAGAGCCTTGCCAAGCGTGGTCCGCAGATCTCGGGCCTTGCTCAGACCCCCTGCATCAGAGCCTGTGACGGACACGACTCCCCGGTGACGGGGCGGGGGGCAGGCGGCTTCCCAGGACCCGGGGCCTGTGGGCCTCACCCAGCCTGTCACCCCCCTCGCAGATATCGGCCAGCCTGGAACCGAGATCTTCAACATGCCGGCCATCACCGGAGCAGGTAACCGCCTGGCCCGCCGCACAGCTGCCCAGGGCCCCTCCCCCCCTCCCCTCCCCCTGCTCCAGCCATTTCCGGGACAAGGAGTTTTTCCTGGTTCAAGTCTGGTCTCAGCTCACCCTGCGGCAGGATCTAAAGTGACGCAGCGGGCAGGTCCCGTGCAGAAGGAGCCCTGGCTGGGTTGAGGTCCCTCACGTAGCATCAGGTGGACCCCACCTCCCGCCGACCTGGAAACGCACCTCGCTCGCCAGTCTCGGACGGAGATGTGGGGCCTGGGCTGGGCACACGAGCTTCAGAGCCCACCTGGGCACGTTACAGCCACAGCTTCCATTCGACCTGAAAATGCCAGCGCCTGAGCCGGGGGCCCTTTCCCGCCACCCCCAAATCCAGCGCAGGTGGTGGCAGAGAGCAC